GGCAGCGGGCGCCTCGGCCGAGGCTGAATCGGAGCGGGAGAACGACTCAATCTCGGACGGCTGCGTCGCTCCCAGCACGCCCGTCGGCGGCGTCGGCCAGTAACGGACACTGCGAAATTGCCCGTCGGCACTTCGGGCGGCGGGCGACAGTCTAAGTCGGCCTCGTCGTAGTCGGACGCAACGTCGTCGGCCCCTGGCGTGCTCGCTGGCCTCCGCGCGAGCCTGGCCCCCCCCCGTTTCCTGTGTGGCGCGTATCTGCAAGCGCGGGCGGCGAACGTGGGGGCGCCGCGCGGGCGTCGCGCCTGGCGGCGGGCGCAGCGACCGTCTCGCGGCCCCCGAGGGGCCTGAGTCGTTCAAACTGCGCCGCAAGCTGGTCCAGCGGGGGCAGCTGCATGTCCGCCGCCCAAGTCGAGAACAACTCGATCTGCTCGTCCTCGTTGACCAGGTCCGCGCCGCCTGGCGAGTCTCAGATCGCAGCCGCGCAGCGCGACTGCGTGCTGGAGACGATCGCGGCTGTCGCCCTCTTATGCCCCTCGCTCTCTTGTGCTTTCCAGCCGCCCGCCTGGTCGGTATCTGACCTCTGCAAATCGCGGCGGCGCCCCCGCGTGGCCAGGGTGGCGCGGTCCTAGTGCTCCGTCCAGAGGGCCTGGAAGCCCGGGGGGCCCCGGTCAGAGATGGGCTCTCCTGGTTCAACGCGGGCGGCGGAGCGTCGGGGTAGTTTCGGCGCGCCTCGCTGGCGCTGACCGGGCTCGTTCGAGATCGGCGGTCGGAAGCGGGAACGGGTGCGCGCTCGTGCCCGATGGCCTTCCAAATCTCTAGGCGCATCTTCAGCCTGTCAGGCTCCGCCAGCCGCGCTGCCTTGGAGATCGCCGGCTTGCGGGCGTGGACCCGCTCGACGGGGCCGCTGGTCTTCGCGCGCAACAGCCTGCCCTCGAGACTGAGCGCCGTCAGCCGCAGGTCAGCGCTCGAGCGCCACTGGGAATCGTAGAAGCGCGACGCGCGCCGATTCTTCACCAGCGTGTGCCAAACGAAGCCCCGCCTGTACATGGACATCGGCTCATTCATCGCGACGCCATCCAGATTAAGATCACATTGGCGAGCAACTTGGGCGCTTTTGCCTGCTGGCCCGGCCATCCGCCAACGCCCGCTGCAGCTCTCCAGCGTGCGCAAGCACCGACGGATGCGTGGCGAGCCGATCAGGCGCCAGCGCCCCGCCTCCCTTCTCAATGGAAGCTACCGCTGAGAGCAGCGTGCGGATAGTCTCCCTCGTACACGGCTTCTGCGGCCTGTCTGTCATGATGTCCATGAACTGCACGAGGCTCTGTGGTTAAGGTGACCCCAACTTGGCCCGGCACCAACCGACCAACCTCGCCACACTTGGATAGTGCTGTCGCATTGTGCCCGAGCGCGGGCCCTGGACGAGCGCCAAAGGCTCGCCGGCCGTCGCGATCACGGGGAGCGACGCGTCCTGCGCCAGGCCCTGCAGCTCGGCCGTGCAGCGGCCGCGTTATTTGGCTTCAAGGGCGCTCCGCTTCTCCCGGAGAGCCTCCTGTGCGCGCCGCTGCCCCGCGGGCGTCGACAAGCGGGCTGCCTGGCGCACCAGGGACCCCGCGGTGCTACCCCGCGGGCTTTCTCCCGTGGGCTTCGCCAAGGCCTCGTCAAGCAAGCGCCGCCGCTCCGCGTTGCGCGCCTGCGCGAGCTCGGACGCCACGAGCTTGGCCACTGCTAGACGGCCCTGGCGGGCAGCCAGGCTGGCGCCCTGAGCCACCCTCTGTAGTTTGTCTGTCGTCTGCGTGGCAGTGTCCTCGGGGGGGGCTCAGGACATCATCCAAGAACCCCGCGAACTTGGAGTCCTGAAGGTCCGCGACAGTGTCGAAGGCTCCAACGGTGCCCAACCCGCGCGCGGACAGAAGGCTGGCCGCGCGGGCGCCCAGCTCCTGCGTCGGCAGCTGGAAGGCCTCTCGCGCGCGCCGCATCACGTCCGAGATTTTCACGGAACCATCCATGAAACTCCGGCTCGCGGCGGAGTCCCACGCTCGACAATGCAAACCTAAAGAAGAAATGCTCGAGAGCGACAAACTTGAACCCAAATTGCAACTGCTCCAAGAAAACGGCCGGCCGACAAGACATCACCGCATTCAGGAGGCGCTTGTGTATCGCCCAACGAAGAGGCCCGAAAAACATGCTCCCGAGGCGTCTCCGGGAACATGAGCTTGAACCCCCTCCGGCAACCTCCGGGGGAGCCTGGGAATTGGGAGCCCCGAAGCCCCTGGCAAATCACCGAAGCCCAAGACCCTGGAGGCCTCTCCACAAACCTGATCCGGGACCCCCCTGCGGAAATTGGGGACGCCCAGAAATCAAGGGCCTCTCAGGAAGCCTTGGGACCCCCCCCGGAAACAACTGTTCCAGACAACCTCTCTGGGAACATCTGGATGCCCACTGTAGCCTCCTGTTTCTGTAGGTTGAAACACTCGCGGGCGCGTTAATTTACAATACGTATGTACACATGTGGCAATATATGTATGTATGTATGTATGTATGTATGTATGTATGTATGTATGTATGTATGTATGTATGTATGTATGTATGTATGTATGTATGTACGTACGTATGCATGTATGTATGTATGTATGTATGTATGTATGTATGTATGTATGTATGTATGTATGTGTGTATATATATAGATATATATGCATTTGTACATATACATATAGCCATCTGTGTGCATATGCATATATCTCGATATGAGCACGTAGAAAGGATGATCGGACACTTGATGAGCCGTCTAAGCGTTGCTGTCTCATGACTCTGCTGCGGCTCTCGCTGCGGACGCTCCCCAAAAAACCTCGACCTCCGAACATCTTCGGACCTCTCCGAGGGTGCGATCAGGCCAGAATCTCGAGGCGGACCTGGCCGCGGCGACGGGAGAAGCCGCTGGAGGGGCTGAGAAGAGGGAGAAGCACCAGAGCATCTCGCTCCTCGATCCCTCACCTCGCCTCTTCCCTCGTCTTTTCCTCGCTGCACCTCCCGCCTCCCCTTCCCCGCGTCAAGCTTCTTCGACTCGAGGTCGGGCTGGAGCGCCGACAGGTGAGCCTGCACCTTCGGAGGGGTGCGCCCCACGATGGAGAGAGCTGCCTGGGAGAACGAGGAGGACGTGGAGGAAGGAGGGAGGAGGGAACCCAGACCCCCTCGAGCCATTCACAGAAAGCAGCGGAAGGCTTTTGATAATCTTCCGTCTCTGGGAGCCCTCGGGATCGTCAAGCGACGACTCAGGATGAAGCGCTGGGCCCAAGGAAATGGGGCCGGGCCTTTGGCGGTCCACGTCGTGAACAAAAACATGACGTCGGGGGTCTGGGAACGAGGATGGGGAACCGTCATGTCTTGGCCTCGTTGTGCCTTCCTGGGAGGCCCTCACTGCTGCGGCCAGGCTCGGTTCGAGGTCTCGGGTTTTAACGGTCTCGGGAGAGGGAACGAAAAAAGGTCAGATCTTGCGGATGGGGGGGGATGGAAGGAGAGGAGGGGGGCCAAGAGAGGGCGTGGAAGAAGGACGAGGAAAGGTCTCGACGGCTTCGACAAATCTGAAAATAGTACATTGGGTGTTTAGTGGGTTCTCCTCCTGCTCCTCCTTCTCTTTCTACCCCTCCCTCGCTTTCTCCTCCTCCTCCTCCTCCTCCCAATCCTCCTCCTCCTCTTCCTCCTCCTCCTCCTCCTCCTCCTCCTCCTCCTCCTCCTCCCCTCCTCCCCCTTTTCGTCCTCCTCCTCCTCCTCTTCCTCCTCCCCCTTTTCGTCCTTCTCCTCTCCCTCCTCCTCCTCCTCCTCCTCCTCCTCCTCCTCCTCCTCCTCCTCCTCTTCCTTCCTCCTGATTCCCCCCTTCCTTCTGCCTCTCCTTCGGTGTGGTACCGGCGGTGGAGCGGGATGGGAAGCGGGAGAAGCACAGGCGAAGGGGGAGGGAAGGAGGAGAGTGCTTTCGTCGCTATTGTTCCCTTCGCTCCTGCAGTCGCTCCCCCAATCGCTGCTGCGGGGCTGCGGCCACCCGCCATTATGGCAAAAGAGATCCGGGAGTGACAGGAAAGTGCCGGAGGTGTATCAGGACGAGGATATGTTGGAGGGGAGAGGGGGTCAGGCGCCGGCCGTCCTGGAATCATCTTGAAACGTCTTGTGCCACCGTGGGCCGTCTCGGCGGCCAGTCGGCCTCCTCCTGGCCCAACTCGGAAAGGCCGGCAGAGACACCCAAAGGCGCCGAGGCGGGTCCCGGACCCCCGAGGGGCACACGGAGTTGCGAGGGGAGAAGTGGGCCGCCCTGGGGCCTGGGGGCCCAGTCGCCAGTGCACTCAGCAAGGCAGGGTCATGGCGCAGTGATCGCTGCATGGATGGATGAAGTGAGCACGAGGCGGGGGGATGACGCCGCCCTCGCCGAGAGAAATGTGTCATGACCATCGACTGCGTGCTCTTTACGGGAAAAACGAGCAAGGTGAGCAGGAGGAGCAGGAAGATGGGCGTGGAAGGGATAATGCGGGAGGGACAGGTAGGAGTGGGGAGGAGGGGGCAAATGGCGCTGGACGTTCCACTGACGCCCCGCGTGCCATGGGGGGCGAACTCGAGCCTGTGATGCCAAGACCCCCTCGTTGTCCTTCTCCTTCTCCTTTTCCCTTTCTGTGTCCTCCCATCCTCCGCCTCATCAGCTGTATCCTGCACCCCATTGTCCTCTCCATCCCCTCCTCGAAAATCCAGAACAGCCAACCTGGATCCATCCACACACCATGGGGGGGACACATCAACCTGCAACGAGGGCAAATAGTTTACAACGGAGCCAGCTCGAAACACTCTCATTTCCCTCCTTCACCCGCCGCCCTCTCTCACTACATCCATCCATGCTCCCTCTCCCACTTCTCCGCCTCTCCACCCTCTTCCTCCCCTACTTTCAGGAAGGGGGGGGACCAGTCACTGTTCGACACGCCACGCACATACCACGTCGGCCAGAGAACTGAACATTGACAACATTTTCTTAAAGGGACGCTTCCGACTGACGCATGCTTATCTGATCAATCCACTAAAGGTGCGCGCGCAAGGCAGAGCGAAACAACTCGCTGCACCCGGATTGAGAAGACCTAAGAGGAGGACTGGATGGATGTTTTTTTTGACAGAGACGCATTGGCCTGATGCACACGTGTCTGGTCCGTTGGCCAAAGGTGTGCGCGCACAGCGAAACGAAATGACTCATCGCTCCGGGAATGTGATAGACAGCAACGCCCTTGTGTACCAGCACGGGTTTGTCAATTCTGCTAGGCCCATTACGGTCACATGGCGGTTGATGGGAAGCGCGCATAGACTCGAAGAGTCGCGCGATGGACGTTGCTGCGGGCCCAGAGGAAAATCTCTGACCAAGAATCTCTTTAAACACGTGTCCCGCGAACCTGGCGGATGACTGGAAGCGCGCTAAGACTCGAAGAGTCGCGCGATGGACGTTTGTGTGCCCAGAGGGATCTTTTTATCAACTGGGGGGGGTCTGGGGGGGGAACGCGCGGGGCCGCCTCGGGGCGCAGGACCTGGCGGATTCCCCAAATGAGCGTTTCGCTCGAGACATCCTCACAAAATCGTGAAGTTGGGGGTCGTATCTTAAGACGTATGACGGGAAGCGCGCTAAGACTCGAAGAGTCGCGCGATGGACGTCTGTGCGCCCAGAGGGATCTTTTTATGAACTGGGGGGGGTCCGGGGGGGGGCCGCGCGGCGCCGCCTCGGGGCGCAGGACGTGGCGGATTCCCAAAATGAGCGTTTCGCTCGAGACATCCTCACAAAATCGTGAAGTTGGGGGTCGTATCTTAAGACGTATTTTGCTAAACATGGGCGTTTCGCTCGAGACATCCTCCAAACATGGAGATCTTGAAATCGCTCGCCTAATTTTCGGATCCTCGAAAATGGGCGTTTCGCCCGAGACATCCTCGAACAACATGGGATGCCGACAAAGCTCTTGTCAGGCATCTTTTCGGAGCGATCTCGGATGACCTCCAAGATGACCCAAGAAGGGACAACATTTAAACATCCACGTGTTTTTAACATGTTCGTTGAACTATCAACGTTTCGCTCGAGACATCCTCCAACAAATGCCTTCGGACGGGTCCTCGAAGGCGAAATGATGACGGGCACCGCGCTAAGACTCGAAGAGTCGCGAGCTGGGGGGGGGTGTCTGGGGGGGGGGAACGCGCGGGGCCGCCTCGGGGCGCAGGACGTGGCGGATAACGGGAAGCGCGCTAAGACTCGAAGAGTCGCGCGGTGGACACGTCTGTGTGCCCAGAAGGATCTTTTTATCGATGGGGGAGGGTCTGGGGGGGGGGAGCGCGCGGCGCCGCCTCGGGGCGCAAGACGTGGCGGATGACGGAAAGCGCGCTAAGACTCGAAGAGTCGCGCGATGGACGTCTGTTGGCCAGAGGCACTGTGTAAAGGGGGGGGGTCTGGGGGGGGAACGCGCGGGACGCACTCGTGGTGCAGGACCTGGCGGATCCCCCAAATGAGCGTTTCGCTCGAGACATCCTCACAACATCTTGAAGTTGGGGGTCGTATCTTAAGACGTATTTTGCTAAACATTGGCGTTTCGCTCGGGACATCCTCCAACAAGCGGGATCTCGAAATCGATCGCCTAATTTTCGGATCCTCGAAAAAATGGGCGCTTCGCCAGAGACATCCTCGAACACATGGGATGCAGACAGAGCTCTTGTAAGGCATCTTTTCGGAGCGATCTCGGATGACCCCCAAGATTGCCCAAGAAGCGAAACTATTGATCAACCCATTTTTTGTTTAAAAAAACATGTTCGTTGAAGACATAATGTTTCGCTCGAGACATCCCTTACAACATGCCTTAGGACGGGTCCGCGAAGCCATCTGGTCTCCTCCTCCTCCTCCTCCTCCTCTTCCTCCTGCTCCTCCTCCTCTTCCTCCTTCTTCTTTTCCTTCTCCTTCTCCTCCTCCTCCTCCTCCTCCTCCCCCTCCTCTTCCTCCTCCTGTTCTTGCTTCTCCACCTCCTCCTCCTCCTCCTCTCGTTCTTCCTCCTTCTCTTTCCTCCACCTCCGCCTCGTCTTCCTCCTCCTCCTCCTGCTCCTGTTCCTCCTCTTCCTCGTCCTCCTCCCCGTCCCCTCCTCACCCTCTGTTCCTGCTCTTGCTGCTGCTGCTGCTGCTGCTGGTCATCCTCCTCTTCCTCCTCCTCCTCCTCCTCCTCCTCCTCCTCCTCCTCCTCCTCCTCCTCCTCCTCCCCCCTCCTCCTCCTCCTCCTCTTCCACCTCCTCCTCCTCCTCCTCCTCCTCCTCCTCCTCCTCATACTCCTCCCCCTCCTCCCACGATTGTCGTTTTCGCCGTCGTCCTCCTCATGCGGAGGAGTGAGGAGGATAACCAGGAAGATGCTTGTAAACGTTCGGGGGGCGCGTGTGATTACGTATCCTTTGTGAGCGTTCGGAGAGCTCTCCGATATTACATTTGATCACGAGGATGCTGCAAGTTCTTGCGCAACTCTTCCCTTTCACGCTCTTCCCGTTCATGTTAGGAAAGGTTCCCCAAACGAGCGTTTCGCTCGAGACATCCTCACGACATCGTGAAGTTGGGGGTCGTACCTTAAGACGTATTTTGCCAAACATGGGCGTTTCGCTCGAGACATCCTCCAAAAAGCTGGATCTCGAAATCGCTCGCCTAATTTTCGGATCCTCGAAAATGGGCGTTTCACCAGAGACATTCTCGAACAAATGTGATGCCGACAGAGCTCTTGTAAGGCATTTTTCCGGAGCGATCTCGGATGACCCCCAAGATGGCCCAAGAAGCGAAAGTATTGAACAACCCATGTGTTTTTAACATTCTCGTTAAACAATCAGCGTTTCGCTCGAGACGTCCTCCAACCATTGCCTTCGAATGGGCCCTCGAAGCCATCTGGTCTCCTCCTCCTCCGCCTCCTCCTCTCTTCCTCCTGCTCCTCCTCCTCTTCCTCCTTCTCCTTCTCCTTCTCCTTCTCCTTCTCCTCCTCCTCCTTCTCCTCCTCTTCCTCCTCCTGTTCTTGCTTCTCCACCTCCTCCTCCTCCTCCTTCTCCTCCTCCTCCTCCTCTCGTTTTTCCTCCTTCTCTTTCCCCCTCCTCCACCTCGGTTTCCTCCTCCTCCTCCTGCTCCTGTTCCTCCTCTTCCTCGTCCTCCTCCCCGTCCCTCCTCACCCTCTGTTCCTGCTCTTGCTGCTGCTGCTGCTGCTGGTCCTCCTCCTCCTCCTCCTCCTCCTCCTCCTCTCCTCCTCCTCCTCCCCCCCCCCCCCTTCCTTCTTTTCCTCCCCCACAATTATTCAATATGAGTGCTACTCTCCGTCTTCCCCTGATGACGGTTTGAAAGTGCTCGACCCCCCCCCCGCGTACTGTATTTTTACACACAGGTTTCCCCGGAGCTGGGTTTTCGCCTGATGTTTTTTCAAAATGCTTCTCTCGCTGAGGCGCCGGCCTCATTTTCGGGCCCCGCTCGTTCCGAATCGTGCTCCCGCTGCAGCGCTGGCCTCATTTCCGTGCTTCCGCTCGTTCCGAATCGTGCTCCCACTGCAGCGCTGGCCTCATTTCCGCGCTTCCGCTCGTTTCGACTCGTGCTCCCGCTGCAGCGCTGGCGTCATTTCCCGTGCCATGCCACGGCATGCAATGCAATGCTAGGTTGATACTACGCTTTGCGGTGCTCTTCTACGCCATGCCATGCCGTGCTCTACAATGCATCGCGTACCCTTTCGGGATCATTGCCCTGCTCGACATCCGACTGTGCGAGTAGAGAGGGGATCTACGCCATGGTAAGGGATGGGAGGGAGGGGTAGGATGTCAGATATCACGCGAGCGCACCTAGCTTGTCCTTATTCCCCTCCCCCTCCTCCCACGATCGTCGTTTTCGCCGTCGTCCTCCTCATGCGGAGGAGTGAGGAGGATAACCAGGAAGATGCTTGTAAACGTTCGGGGGGGGGGGGCGTGTCCATACGTATCCTTTGTTCGGAGAGCTCGCCTATATGACATTTGATCACGATGAGGCTGCAAGTTCTTGCGCAACTCTCCCCTTTCACGCGCTTCCCCTTCATGTCAGGAACGGTTTTGCTAACAATGGGCTGCCGACAAAGCTCTTGTAAGGCATCTTTTCGGAGCGATCTCGGATGACCTCCAAGATGACCCAAGAAGCGAACATATTGAAACATCCACGTGTTTGACGGGAAGCGCGCTAATACTCGAAGAGTCGCGCGATGGACGTCTGTGTGCCCAGAGGGATCTTTTTATCAACTGGGGGGGGGTCTAGGGGGGGGGAACGCGCGGCGATGCCTCGGGGCGCAGGACCTGGCGGACTCCTAAAATGAGCGTTTCGCTCGAGACATCCTCACAACATCGTGAAGTTGGGGGTCGTATCTTAAGACGTCGTTTGCTAAACATGGGCGTTTCGCTCGAGACATCCTCCAAACATGGAGATGTTGAACTCGCTCGCCTAATTTTCGGATCCTCGAACATGGGTATTTCGCCAGAGACATCCTCGAACACATGGGATGCCGACACAGCTCTTGTAAGGCATCCTCTTGACGCGATCTCGGATGACCTCCAAGATGACCAACGAAGCGAAATTACAATAGACCCACGTGGTTTAAACATTTTCGTTGGAAAACCAGCGTTTCACTCGAGACATCCCTTACAACATGCCTTCGAACGGGCCCTCGAAGCCATCTGGTCTCCTCCTCCTCCTCTTCCTCCTCCTCCTCCTCTTCCTCCTGCTCCTCCTCCTCTTTCTCCTTCTCCTTCTCCTTCTCCTTCTCCTCTTCCTCCTTCTCCTCCTCTTCCTCCTCCTGTTCTTGCTTCTCCACCACCTCCTCCTCCTCCTCCTCCTCTCGTTCTTCCTCCTTCTCTTTCCTCCCCCATCCGCCTCGTCCTCCTCCTCCTCCCTCCTCCTCCTCCTCCTCTCCTCCTCCTCCTCCCCGTCCCCTCCTCACCCTCTGTTCCTGCTCTTGCTGCTGCTGCTGCTGGTCCTCCTCCTCCTCCTCCTCCTCCTCCTCCTCCTCCTCCTCCTCCCCATCCTCCTCCCCCTCCTCCCACGCTTGTCGTTATCGCCGTCGTCCTCCGCATGCGGAGGAGTGACGATAACCAGGAATTTGCGTGTAAACATTCGGGGGGCGCGTGTCCTTACGTATCCTTTGTGGGCGTTCGGAGAGCTCGCCTATATGACAGTTGATCACGACGATGCTGCAAGTTCTTGCGCAACTCTTCCCTTTCACGCGCTTCCCGTTCATGCCACGAAATGTTTTGCTAAACATGGACGTTTCGCTCGAGACATCCTCACAACATGGAGATCTTGAAGTCGCTCGCCTAATTTTCGGATGCTCGAAAATGGGCGTTTCGCCTGAACCATCCTCGAAAACATTGGATGCCGACAGGGCTCTTGTGAGGCGATCTCGGATGGCACCCAAAATGGCCCACAATCGTTGAACAATCAGCGGTTCACTCGAGACATCCCTTGCAAAATGCCTTC